CCCAATGTGATGTTTGTGTAAAGTTGGTCAGAAGGTTCCTTTGTAAGTGCGCATGCGCCATTAGCGTGCTGCCTGCTGTAACCCTAATTTCCTTCGGGATTAATAAAGTATTCTGATTCTGATAAATCTTTGCTGGTTGCATAGTGGCAGGTTTCTGTTTGATTGTTCTTCAGTTGCCTGGTAAAAGCCGCTGAGCACATTATTTGAATGCCTTCCCTTTATAACCCTGTCACCTGGATACTGAAAGCACTTAATTTCTCTCTCTCCTTTCCCTACACTTTCTCTCCCTCCCTGCTGCTCCTTGATTTCCCCAAACAGCATATTTGCTTACTCAGGTGCTGACAAGGCTCACTCAGTAATTACCCTTCACACACTGTAAAAGTAATGAGAAGGTCACTTGCAACAGTTGTTGATTGTTTATCTCTTAATCTTTTCTCTGCTTTCTTGTGCGAAACACAACCCAAAGAATGGAGAGACCCAGTGTTTTGACAGTTTCTGGTTTTTGGAAGCAGTTTGAAATTTGGCGAGTAGTTTGGACCTGTGGGCTACAAAAGCGCATCTGGTTGTTGGTTGTCCAGGAGGACACAAATGCCTTGGGGTGCGTTTGTGTCAGGAAGGCTATCTGCTGTATAAATCTTCTCCATCAAACATGCTGAGCTACTTACTTTTCTGACTTCATGTGAATAAGAGGGCAGCTAAAAGTAGCTCCTGTTTTTTCCCCTAGCACTGTAAATATTTTCACTGACTGAGCTCCTTCCAAAAGATACATTTTGGTTCACGATGGTCAGAGAATTAATGTCGCAGAACCAGTTCTCAGGACTCCATCAGAGCTGAAGACTGGAAAGTGAAGTGGAAGAAATGTTTATTGATTAGGACATAGCCGTTAAAGTGTGGATCCACACTAAGAAAAGAAAGAAGAACAAAAAAAGATTTGCTAATAGCATAGCTTTAATAATAACAATAATTAAATCACTCTTTGTATAGCGCATTTCATATGTGCATTGCAACTCAGAGTTAAGATAAGTGATAAGATAAAACTTTATTAATCTCTCGGGTGGGTTCCTCTGGGAAATTCGGTTTCCAATAGCACAGCACCGACAGAAGTTACAGAACGT